AAAAGTGTAATTACTTCGATCTGGGAATATCAGCAGGATGGCAATAAATTACTTGCGAAAAATGTCACTTTCCTAGGAAATTCCATACAACCATATGGAAACAATAGGCTGAACAACTCGCACTGAAATTCGCTAATAATTCAGGGCGTTCTGTCGTTTCGAAGTAAATTATAGTTAGTTAGAAAACTCTCTGAAACCGCTGTCTCGGAAACACGAAAGGGACAACTGACTTTGGAGAGGCAGTCACCTGTCCACTTGCCTGAAGGAAACATTAGTGATCATGGTAAAATCTAGGACTGTTACGCAGGAAACAGATCTGACGTAAGACAACACAACCGTAATGCATCGATAATTAAACTACCTCAAATAAAGGACGATGATCACTGTTAACATTGAATAACCATGAATGAAAATTCACATAAGCAACTATACTTTGCAAGGCATTTGCAGGTGGCCATGCGAACCTGATTGCTACTATCGGACAACAGATCATTGACAGCGGAATTGAGAAACGAAGTCTGCAGAGATCTTGCTTTCGCCTATAATTCAGCGTTTCTCAGATTCCCCATGTATTGAAATGAGCTGAACTACAAGGCAATTAAATACAGAGATATTTCAAAATTTAAGAAATAAATTTAACTCAGAAGCATTCGAATCGAACATTTATATGCTGACACTTCGCAGAAACAGGGCAGTATGAATTGAAAACGGAACATTTTGACATATTTTGCTTTATTTTTGGAAACTCAATTTCTATAAGCAAAAAAGAAGCATAAGAAAACTGCGGGAAACTTTCACAGCAGAAGAATGATGAAAAAATTCCATTTCGCAACCGAGTTTATGTTTTGAAACATATTGGACATGGGCGGAATCTGGAAAATGAATGAATAACTGAAAACAAAATTATCTGCTTGTCATTTACTAGTAACGGTTTCTTTACCTCTTCTTTAATCCTCTTTATCTGTCAGCTTTGTATGCATCTTTTAACTCTTTCCTCATTGACCTCACACCTGCTCTTCCAGTAGATTCTGCCACATTAATCAATCTACAAGCGCTTCTGATCTTCATTTGTCCTCAAACAGGCTAATCGACTTCTTCGAGTCTGCTCGTACCTTACCCTTAGTCCTGGTGATAAGTGTTCCTTACTAACGTTTTGCTTAAATTACCTAAATAAGGCATGCGCAAGATTTCTCTAGCAAAATTCGTTACTTTATTTTAATTCTTTACACAAGACTTCGCCTTTCGAATTTTATGGCTGCGAATAGCTTATTCAGTAATGCAGCACCCTCAAAGCTTTCTATTTCAAACTGTCCTAATATAATGCCGCTCTTTGCGAATATAGTTTGCACTGATATTCAACATTAGTCAAGGTCGACCAGAGCAGTGATTTTTAGCCTTTATTACAGCCAGCGCATTTTGGTTCTCAAACTACCTTCTCGAACCCTTCATAAAAATTTGCTGAAGTACTTTACGTCTTTAAGTTTCAAAATTTCAAATACACAACTATAGAATTACAAATTTATCTTAATTTCACAGAAAAAAAACTGAGAATACATGAAAAATTACACATCATTTTTAAAGTTCAATAGTTCAGGATTTAAATACCCTTTTTTACCAGGAATGTTCAGGAAATGAATGTCCCTTTCGACTACAGCCAACACATCAATTCCAGCGTTTCAGTGCATTCTGGTCATTTTTGAAGAACAGTAATTGTAAAAAGTCTATCTCCTCTTCAAGTACGCAGTCGCAAATGAAACAAGGACATTCAGCGTCAAACGTCGTATTCGCCAGTCAGGGAAACAACATTCCTTGAGCACAGTACTGAATTCAAACATAGATGCGTCGATTTTAAACGATCATCTGCTGCAATAAATATTCCGCAACGTGGCAGTATACTCTGTTTTCTAGCCGGATAATTTAAATACAATTAGGTTAATCTGCCACAATAATAAAGTTTTTGCATCTACATTTCAGTAATTATAAAAATGTATAATTTTTATAAAAACAGACTTGATGAAAACATCATGCGTAAGTGCACAAATTTGTCTTCCCCATGATTTACATTCTAAAAAACCTGGAGTCTTCCACTACGTCAGGGAGTAACCCCAACTTATGAACCACTGTCGTTTTTCACCCCCTCCATCATAATATTAATTATCACTATCATCTACTTCGATCCTTTGCTGGAAGAAGGCCACGCCAAGCTTTTGATATAAACTTCGCGATTCTGCCATTTTTTATCCATCTTGATCAAACAGACCTCGTCAGCCCATTCTGTTATCCATCTAGGAATTTTCCCACGAGCCATTCCGTTTACTCCCTCTCGGATCCCACTCTAATGTCGTTCTCGTGCAGTGATGGTCAGTTCTTCTTCCATTTTAACTTCTTCACGTAGGCAATGTTATCAGAGATTCTTATTTCTGCTCTCATCCATTAATTCGATTTTGTCTTTCATTTTATGCCCAATATATTTCTATGCTGCGATACGCAGTCTGCAGTTAATAAATTTTTTCAGGCTTCCGGTCTACGTTTCGAACCTACAGGTTAGCCCCATGTGAATAATTTAACATAAATCAAACAAGCAATTTGCTAATGTTATACACTTCAGTTTTGGACGCTATTGTCGTCAGTCAGAAACTACAACTACGCTGAAATGCTGCAAAACTGTGTGACCCAAAATATAAGAAATAAGAAGTTAACAGGTGAAAGAGCAACTACGTTCCCAATTGTCCGGCTGAAGACCCCGGAGGCGGCCAAGAATAACTTGAGGCCAGAGTCTCGAAGTACCCTGCTCCAGACTCAGGTTATGTTCAGAAGAAATTCTAACGACGGCATAAGATCGAGAACGTTAGGACGCAGTGCCTAACGCATCTTACTCTGCAATTTGAAAGAATAAGCGGTCACAGAAACTGACAGACTGGATAACTAAGCAAAAAATACTACAGCGGCTTGTAGCAAACACTTAAGCCATAGGAAGATTAAATAAATAATATTTACATACGCAAGTATTATTTAATTAAGATCTAGAAGCCAATTACCAATAGAAACCAGTTGAAGTGGTTACCATGTTCAATAATGACCTATGTTATACCTGTTTTGAATAATGTACTTAAAATCAGCAATTGGACGGAAACAAACTGTTCCTTTATTGTCGCATGAACAGCAAGGTAGCCAAAACTTGAGATCTCAAGCGGTTAGAAACGCTATACAAATCGATATTAGGCAACAGTCTGTGATTTGGAAATGGTCACATTTCTGGTCAAAAACAAACTTTATACCAACGGGTGCTGCCAAGTTGCATAAATGCGTCTGACGCCAGCGACGGCTCCCATCAAAGAAACGTATTGAGCACATAAAATTCATTTTAATACATCTCATCAAACCAGTCAGATGAGTTTTTAAATTCTTCTGGCAACTTTTACATGCCGCTGGCTACCAGCACTTTGCTGACTTCGTTGTAGCACTATAATCTGAAGGTGTCTCGCAGGTAGAACTGGGGCTGGAAGTTGGGGAAATGAATTCCATGACGCACCGTACAAAAGCACCCCGAGCATATGGATGTATTCAAAAATTATGCTCTTCGCAGCCGCTCTACACTTCGATCGTTGTACATGTATTATACAGCTTTTCTAAGATTCGCCGACGTGACTGTTCCATGACTCTTCGGCAGGGAAACTCTCGTCAACTGGCACATAAGCTCGCAGCACTTCATGGCTGTTTGGTCGCAACGGAATTGACGTCTTATATTTACAAACCACGATCCTGGAAGAAGTTCATCAGGTGTTAAGTCAGAATTTAGATTGTAGGCCAAAATGGAATCAGTCGTTTAAACCGTCTGCTTATGCAATGAACTGAAGTAAAGCACCTGAACACCAGTTCCGAACAACAAGTGCTTAAGTTACCACTGATTCTTGATCGATAGTTCTTTTTTGGCAACTGCGATTCCCACAAGATCTTTTTTCCGCTAATCGCCTCATTTGAGCCGCAGGTCTTCGACTGGACGCTTGCAGATACTTGGATGTGAAACTTTTGTTCAGGCGATTTGTCTGTTTTTTCCTTTTCTGTAAGTCTTACCCAACGTCCTTTGGGAATAATCGCCAGTATGGCGATGGTCGTGCAAAATTAACATGTAAATTACAAACAGCAGGCGGTTTTCAGTTATGCAT